GAGAGTGGGAAATCCTGGGATTACAGTGGTGCAGCAGGCCTGGGAGTAGCTAGTCTAACTGGAGCAGGAAGATAGAGGGTTCTGGGAAGGATGTTTCCAGGAATTTTTTTTTTTAACTAAGGTGAAAAAGGACTTTGATTTTCTGGCATTTGAGTATTTGGAAAATGATGAATATTTTCACCGGCCTCATAGAATAAATGGAAGAATATAAATATAGCTTATAAGGAATGATATTTCATAGTAATCATACTGTAACTGCTGACTACTGATTTGTTAAAAATTAGTATTACTATATTGTGAGGATATGTAGTTTTGGGGGTGGAAGTTAGGATGTGGGGATTAGTGCTATAAGAGAGTAAAATTCTCATAGACTATATTAAGAGTCCATAGATTATTTCTAAAATCAATAAATTAAAAAATACTGTATAAATATATTGTTTAGACATACATAAATACCAAGAGAAACAGCTAAAGAAAAAACATTAAAGCTGTTTGCTTTTAATGAACGAAATTGGAAGGAGAGAAGAGGTGGGTCCTGGGACTCCTGTTTTTCATTTACTGATCTTTTGGCACGCTGATTATTTTTAAAAGTGATAAAAGTATATGCATGCATTACTTCATAAAACAAAAAACTAAAACAAATGTTAATGATAGGTTCCTCCAAAGTGCATTAGGATTGAAGTGTCCCCAGTAAAAGGGAGTCAGATATCGAGAAAAAGAAATATAAGTTTACCTTTTGATTTAAAGGGCTTTTTTTCTTCATTTATTTCTGGTTTTATTTTTTCCCAGGGCTTCAAAAACAAACCAAAAAAGATGGGTCACATAAAGGCCGACTTGATTGATGTTGACTTAATCAGAGGTGAGTTCTAAAGTTGGCTTGTTTCTTAGGAGTATTGTTATATTATTTCATAGTGGTAGTAAAGATTCTTTTTTAGATATCGTCCCTATATAATGATGTACTTTAATTTCCAAAAGTGATGTTCTTCCCTCGTCATTCAGGCTTTAGCATTTTTTCCCCTTTGCTTTAATACTGTGTGGCTAGGTAGATGACATGGTTTCCATGAGAGTGAAAGAGGGATGAACTTAGAGACTTACTGCTGTGTAATTAAAAAAAAATATATTGTCTTCCATTCGAACGAGCCTGACTTACTTTGAGCGCCTGTCCTAGTGATTGAGGCAAACATCTAAGAGGATTCTTTTGAGCTGAACAGGTTATGTGCTGATTTTTTCTTCTCACCTGCTTTTAATATAGTATTACAAGTGGGTATTTGTATAATGTATATCAATGTTTGATGTTTTGTTTTATTGTATATTTAAAGGCTCAACATTTGCCAAAGCCAAACCTGAAATTCCGTGGACATCTCTGACTCGGAAGGGGCTTGTTCGAGTTGTATTTTTCCCATTTTTCAGCAATTGGTGGATTCAGGTTACCTCTTTAAGAATCTTTGTTTGGCTGCTACTGCTTTACCTCATGCAAGGTAATTAGAGGAGTGGGGATACACGAGGACACTTGTTTTTTGCTACTTTTGCTATTAGATCATACAGACCTTACTGTTCTTACACTGACCCTTCGATTTGATGTTTTCACGTACACAGAAATGAAGGGACGTACACCATTTGGAGATCATCTTACATTTATTTGCTCAGAGAGTGCAAACCATTGTCTAACTCTCATCTCTTGAATTTCTTTCCACCTGTCTCACTGGCCAGGCCTTTACAAACTTCTTCTGTCTGACCTTTGAATATTGGATTACCACCAGATTGGCCCGGGTTCTCTTCTCTTTTCTAGGTTCTTTCATCAAGCCCTTTTACTTTAACTATAATTGATACGCTGGTGATTCTCAGATGTATATCGTCAGGCCGGATCTCTCTGCTGAACTTCAGACTCATAAATCCAACTGCCTGTTTGACTATTTCCATATGGAGATTAAAAATATCTTGAACTCAATCATATCCCAAATGGGAACTCTTGATTTTTTTTTTTAATGTAATCTTTTTGTTTATATAGACTTATTCCTGTTTAGATCTTCCCCCTATTTCATTAAATGATATCATCAACACCCAGTTTTCCAGTGAAAAGTTAAGTCTTCCTATTCTAGTCTGCCACCAACTCTCACATCCCATCTGTCACCAAGTCTGTAAGTTTGGCCTCCAAAATATGTGCTGACAACTTGTTGCCATCTCTCCTGCCACCATCATAGTCCACAGCACCAGCATCCCCTGGCCTACATCACTGGAATAACGTCTGCTCCAGGCTTTCTTTCTACCAATCACTCTTTTCATAGCAATTAGAGAAATCTCTTAAAGTGGAAACCATCTATCGTCACTTTCCTGCTTAAAACCCTTTGGTGATTTCTCGTTACCCATAGAGTAAAAACCCAGACTCCCCACCAGGGCCTCCAGTGCCCTATGTGGTCTGTTCCCTGCAAACTTCTCGGATGTCTTCCACTCTACTTGCTCAGTCTAGGCACAGGGCCCTTTTCTGTTCCTCACACAGGGCCTTTCTTTCTTTTTGAAACAATCTTAAGGCTCTTCACGTGGCTATCTTTTCTTGCCTCTGTGAAGTCCATGCTCAGATGTAACTTTCATAGAGAGTTGTCCCTGTCTGTACTTTCTAAATCATTTAAACCCCTCAGGCACGATCACAGGAATCTGTTTTAATTTCTCTATTGCACATCACTACCTGATGTTTTTTCTTGTCTCACTATGTGCAGGGACCTAGTGTATTCTCTTTTTTATATTCCATTACCTACCAGGAATGCTTTCTGAAAGAGGGCAATGTATATACCCGAGCAAAAAGACATGAATTAGAACAAAGAGTAGGTGAAAGGTGAAGGTCGGGTTAGGGTGAAAGAATTTGGAGTGATTTTTGTTTTCTTTTATCTATCTCGGGTGTTTTGAATTGTCTTCATAACTCTCATATTAGTGGCTGCATAATATTCCACCACATAGATATACCATCATTTCAAACTATCATTTTAATATCTGTATGAGTCTATCATATGGACTCACCATAGACACTTTTTATAACTGCCTAATATTCTATTATATACAAGTAATTTACATTGCTGTTTCCATATTGTGAGCATTTAGGTTATTTCTGTTTTTTTCCTATTAATAATACCATCATGAACAAAATTTTTCAAATTTTGTATTACTTCCTTGAAATTTATTCTCTGAAATAGAATTAACAAGTCAAAGAATACAAAACATTTTAAGGTTTTTAGTACATATAGTAAAATTGCTGATGACACAATTCTTTTGGTAAGTAGTGGATGAGAATTCCTATTTTACCACAAATTACCAGCATTATAATATTAAAAATTGTTACCTAAGTGAATGTACAAAAATTAACATTTTTCTCATTTAAAAATTTACTTAAAATAATTTTTAATTTTTATTTTGGGGGGATGGGGAGGAGGTAATTAGGTTTATTTATTTATTTCTTAACGGCGGTACTGGGGATTGAACTCAGGACCTTGTGCATGCTAAGCATGTGCTCTACTACTGAGCTATACCCTTCCCCCCAGCAGTTTGCTCATTTAATGTGCATTTATTTGGTCACTTGTGAGGGTGAAGTTAAATACTTTTCCACATGTTTGTTATTAAAGAATTTCTTTCTTTTTGAGATAAATTCTATATTCTACATTTTCACATACACCATAGTCTTCCTTCTGGACTGCATGTTCTGTGCCATCAGTCTGTCTGGTTATTCTCACACCTCTGCCACACTAAATTACTGCAGGTATTTAATATGTAGTAACATTGAGCAGCACAAGTATACCTCTGTTACTCTGCTTCTTCAACATTTTCTTTTAGGTGTTCTTGCTTGCTTTTTCTTTCCAAAATAATTTAGAATTATTTTATCATGATCAAAGACCAAAAGAAAAACATTTGGAACTTGGACTGGAATTCCCTGCTCCACACTTCCCGCTCCAAAATATAGATACAAATATATATGGGGGGAATGGGGAGAAAATTGATATGTCTCTTCTTTTAATCAAGTCTTCTGTTATATCTTTCAGTAAAGCTTTGTAGAAATTTTTTTTTTCTTATAAGGCCTGCTTACATTTTGTTAAACTCAAATTTTTAAAATTGTGGTAAAATATATGTAACATAAAATTTACCATCTTAACCATTTTTCAGTATACAGTTCAGTGACATTAAGTACATTCACATTGTTAAGCAACCATAACCACCATCCATCTCCAGAGCTTTTTTCATTTTTCCGAATGGAAACTGTATGCATAAATCAATTACTCTCCAATTCCACCCACCTCCAGCCCCAGCCAACCACCATTCTACTCTCTGACTCTGTGAATTTGACTTCTCTAGGTGCTTCACGTAAGTGGAATCATACAGTTTTTGTCCTTAGTTTACTTGGCGTAATATCTTCAAGATTCATCCATTTGTAGCATGTGTCAGTATTTCCTTCCTTTTTGAAGGTGAATGAAAATCAATTGTGTGTATATACCACATTCTGTTTATATGTTCATCCATCAGAGGATGTGCAGGGGCTTCCACATTAAAGTAAAATATTTTATGTTTTAATTTTTGCTGCTGCAGCTGCAGGCACGAGATTTTTTTGTTTTACGAATTTTGACTGGTTATTGTGGTTACATTTGAAAGCTTTTATATTTAAAATTGTTATAACCAGCTACTTTATTAAACTCTCATTAATTCTAATGGTCTTTCAGTGCTTCTCTCAGATATTCTGATTACACAGCCATATTGTTGACATAATGAAAATTTGGCTTCCTCTTTTTTCATACATTTCTATTGACTTTTATCGAATTAGTCACGATTTTCAGAGCAGTGTGAAGTAATAGCAGTAAGAGTGGTCATCCTGCTTTGTTCATATTCAGAGTGTCTTCATTAACATAACTTGCTGATTTTATTTATATATTCTTTAGCATGTGAAGGAAATATTTTTATATTCCTAGTATTTTAGGAAAGATTGGCATGTAAGATTAACTATAGATCAGGAACCAAAGTTAATTTTTATGGAATGCTTTTCCACTATTGGAGTTGGACCAGATTTCACAATGAAGGGCCCAGTCCTTCACAAGACTGCCCTCAGCTCAGACACCAGCCCCACTCTGGGAGGCCACCCTTACTCTGACCAGCTGGCTACAGTGTCCAGGGTCTCCCCTCCTCATTCTCTCAGGTTTAATAATTCACTAGAAGACTCGCAGGAAAGTGCTGTGCTTACAATTACAGTTTTATTATAGCAGAAGGATATAAATTAGAAGAGGTGCACAGGGCAAAGTCTGGGAGGGTTCCAAACAGGAACTTTTCATCGTTCTCAGGGATGTGTTACTCTTCCAGCCATGAAAGAGAGCAGTACACACAGGGTATTGCCAAGTGGAGAAGCTCACCCGAGCTTTGATATCCAGAGTTTTTATTGTAGCTTTATTATATAGACATGATTGAGTGAGTCATTGGCCAAGTGGTTGAACTCTTATCTTCAGCCCATCTTCCTTCCCCAGAGGTCAGGCTGGTACAGTGTGGCTCAAAGCCCCCACCCTCTGATTACATAGTTGGTCTTTCTGGTTGTCTAAACTGACAGGTATGGTCCAAGGGGCCCACTGTGAATAGCAAAGATACTTCCACCGCGTGGGAAACTCCAAAGGTGTGGAGGTTACCTCCCAGGAATCAGGGACAAAGACCATTTACACAATTGTCAGTTGAGATATATATGCATGAGATCAAAGTTACAGATAATTGTTAAATAACATCCATTCGGTCCACAAATCCTTAAGTGCCTAACATGTATGTGCCAAGGACTCTTCTGGGCTCTGAGAAAGATTTCCTACTGTCCTAGCGTAAACCCTATGTGGTCTGGGTGAATTACTCTTCTGCTTTATTATTGTCAAATTTACTTTGATAGTATTTCAGTAATTCATGCCACAAATGTTGAGTGCTTACTATGTGCCAGGTACTGATCTAGGAATAGCAGTGAACAAAATAGACAAAAATCTCTGCCTTCATGGTGCCTACTTTTTAGATGTAAATTTATATCCATGTTCACAAGTCAGCAAGGTCTGTAGTTTATTGCTTTGGTGCTGTTGTTATGTTTGATTATCAGGGTATTAGGGCACAAAATGAATTTGGTAGCTGTTTCTCCACATAGGAATAGTTCAGATAGCACAAGAATTATCTTTGTTAAAGTCTAAAAGAACTCATCTGTAAAATTGTATCTGGAATTTTGGGGAGATAATTTGAGATAGTTTTCTGTTTCTTTTGCTGTTTATTTCTTGGGACATTTCATATACACGTACAAAGAGGCAATATAGCATAGAAGTTAAGAGTAAGGACTCTGGAGCCCAGCTGCCTGGATTCAAAACCCAATTCTGCTAATTGCTACCTATGTAACTCTGGGCCTTGGAAAATACCGTTTCTCTGAGCAGAACGCTTCAAAGGATTATATGGCTGCTGGTGGTTTTGTGGTGGAAAATCTCTTGAAATACCTAGATTGTCATACTGCCAGAAAGGCAGATCCTTAGAACACATCATTTCTTCACTAGCTCTGTGATCTAGGGCTTCAGGTTTTCACTCAGCTAATGTGCAGGTGGATTGTGTTGTAGGAATTTGTGTGCTTTCACTTGTATACTTTTCTAACTGATAGATTTTTGTGGAAATAGATTTTTGTACAGTCATCAGAATTGGTTTGAAAGATGAGCCCTAATGTTCTGCATTTTGACACCTCTTCTTTTCAGTGATAGCTCTCGTGTTATATTGTATGATGCCTATTGTGAATGTAAGTGAAGTGCTTGGACCCTTGTGCCTTATGTTACTCATGGGAACCGTCCACTGTCAAATCGTGTCTACTCAGATAACAAGGCCATCGGGAAACAATGGAAATCGGAGAAGAAGGTGAGATGAGAAATTACACCTGTAGTTGTGTGTTTTCTGGGAGAGGCATTGTAGAGATTTACAGGGTCTTTGAGTCAATTAAAAAAAAATCTTCCTCTTTTGCATACATTTTTCATCATTTTTTGGCTTAAAAATATGGATTTTACTTTTTACTTTTCTCCCTGATGCTGAGAAACCTTGTCATGGACTTTTAACCCAAGGTGGGGTTTTGTCATTCAGTACAGTTGTTTAAAAGGAAGATTCCTATACTATATTATTCCTTATTAAAGTTCACCTTAAATAATGATTTTGAAAAGGCATTCTTCACAATTCAGTCTTAAAATTTGGTGAAAATTCACTTATAAACAAGAATCTCAGTACACTGGGTTAGTGCTACTAAAATTCCTACTTTTTTCCAAGCATGTATAATGAGAATCGATTTCTAAGTGTTCTAAACTTTTAATAAAGATTTAACTTTTCTACACATTGAATTCATATCATGTTTTTATTATGTGCCCTGTGTGGGTTTTGGAACTGTTCAAGGTTTCTTGGGTACGTATGGTATCATCTTCCCAAAGTCATCTTTCCTCAGAATATCTGTAGATTTTTGTTCCCCTAAGGAGTTACTAAATAAGATTTTTTTCATTTGATGTCATAAATTTCAACATATTTATTCTTTTTTTTCAATGTTTTCAAAACTATTTTTTCAGAAAAGAATATTCCTTGAAAATTCAGTTTAATTGATTTAGTGTTTTCTAAGGAACTCAAATATTGTGCGGCATCTCGTTGGTATTGATAGGATGTATCTTTTCACTGCATAGGATATCAATAAAAAATGATCAGTTGCTATTATTTCGTGTTCCCCTGATTAGATGTGCCAAATGGGTCGATTTCTGACATACACATTTAAAGGAATTGTTCCTTCTTTCAGTGGTTCCTGAAGACTCTTGATCATACTTATGAAAGTTTTCCTTCCAGTAATGTTTCTGAGTAGCAGTTCTATTTCTTTAATGAATGAGCAAAATGATATAAACTAGGACTTCGGTTTGGAACCTTTTGTTACCCTTAAGTCAGAAATATTCCTACATAATTTACCCTCATTATATGAAGTTCAGTATACTTAACTTCAGATAGTAATCAGTAGGGATTTTCTGAGCAGAAATAGAAAAGGTCTTGAATAATCTAAAATTATTGAAATATTTTTTTGTAGAAAATTACGAAAAACTGTAAATGGTGACGCGAGCCGAGAAAATGGAAATAACTCCTCGGATAAAGCCAGAGGAGTAGAAACTTTGGAATCTGTGCCCTTCAATGGTGGTTTTTGGGGGACTCTCTTTGGCAACAGGTGGGAAGTCTTCCATTGGAATTTTTACTTGATTTTGTGTTCACATGAGTGTTTACATAGTATATAATCTAATTCGGTTATAGGCATATACTCTGTAAGCATATTATCATTGTGGTTTGAGTTTTAAAGGCCCTAGAATGATTTGCTTATTTGAAATGTCTCCAGTGTCTCTCATGTTACCCGTAAGTGCAGTCATCTACCATAAAAGTTTCATTCTGTTTGATCTTTAATGGTTGTTTCTAGAACCCAAGATTACAGAAGTATAAATATTCTCAAGGGGTAAATATTTTAAGCCATGTTGGCCAACATCTTGAGAGAAAGAAAAATTTTTAAAAGATGAGGTATTTTTCAGTGTGAGAGCTGATACCTCTTTGGAAGTGGGCTACAGGACAGGAGGCTGGTGTTGATGAGCTGAGGACAGAAAGGGAAATGAATCCAAGACAAATTTGACCTCTTTCGTGATTTTGCAGGTCATGACAGCACTCTATAGTTCAAAGAAAAACTTATTTTATCATACATTAATGTTTGTGACTCAAAACTAAAATTCTTTTGCAACTCCTTTTTTGAAGACGAAGTCTGTTCACATATTTTTCTGAAGATAAGTTGCCACTCTTTAGTTGAAATGTTTGAGTTCTTTATGCTGAACCTTGTGCTGGGCCCTGGGCATCCTTGTTCTCAGGGATTTTCCTGTCTAATTAGGAAGGTTAGAGTAGCAGGTATGATACAGTCACAGCAATGTAGAAACACCGTAAATGATTACATGCTGACTGAAGGCCGTGCAGTTCAGCAGATGGGGTGACTATTCTGGGGTGAAGCAGGCAGCAGGAGTCATGAAGGAGCTGAGAGTCGCTGGGCTTTGAAGGACAGGAGAGGGGAAGACAGCCTGTGAAGTGGCACAGACAGGCAGTGTGAGGTAGAGGTTGACATTGTGTCTGAGAGAGAGACTGAATCTACTTCCTTGCAAAACGGAAAAGAACAGGCTTCCTCTCAGTTACCTGACACGAGTCTTTGGAGACTAGAGAGAACTATTGTCTGGCTTCCTACGCGCGTAGGCAAGCTAAAAGCCTGAAAAATAATGATTTCTGAGTTTTCCTGATTTCCCAGAATAATATATTGTACCCCTCAGAAGAAAGTGATTTCAGAAAAGATCTTCCTTTCAGAAAAGTAATTAGTAATTGTTTTTTTTCCTTTTTAAAACATAGGATTAAAAGAGTAAAATTAATATGTAACAAAGGGACGGAAACTGACAATGACTCAGGTTGTCTGCATCCTGTTGTCAAGAAGAGACAGTGTCGGCCAGACATTAGAATGTGGCAAGCAAGAGAGAAAGCAAAGTTTTCAGATGGAGAAAAGGGACGTCGGGTAAGATTTAACTGAGTGTCAGTATTACAAGGTCTTCTCTTTACTGCATCAAATTTTTCTGTTCTTAGACTGCTAGACACACAAATTAGACACTAATAGACTGGTGTAATTTGAAATGTAAAACCACAGGACGTGAAAAGGAGGGCATTACGAAGAATAACATGAAGGCTGTGGCTCATTCGTCTAATTTCTAGGACTAGAACTTGTCATTGTATCTGCTATTGATCTGGCCTTAGCAGCAGGCTGGCCGATCTAATAAGCAGATGAGGGTAGAGGCTGCTGTGTCCTGTTTCCGGGGGTGGGGTGGGGTGGGCGGGCAGTGATAATTTGGTAAGATTTGGGAAACTTCTAGGTTTAGGAAGAAATATTCTCTGCTTTATGTCCAAAACTAACTACACTTTTCCTTTATAGTCTTGAACTGTTTTCCTGTTTGTTAGATTGTGGTATTTAAGAATTACACAAAGAGCTAATATTTTGGAGCCATGACTGCAGCCTGGCACTATTCTAAGAGCTTTACATGTGGTAACTCACTTAATTGTTTCAACAACTCTCTGAGATGGGTACTTTTACCATCATCCCTTTTCAGATGAGGAAACTGAGCCCCAGAGAGATTTAATGACGTGCCCAAAGTTACATGGCGAGTGAGTAGCAGGGCTGATTCAGACTCAGTTTGACTCACGCCTGAGCTTCTCACCTCTACGTGATACTGCCTTGTCATTTAGGCTGTTCAGTTTCAAGGAAGTTTAATATTTTTCGTTATTGAGGCCAGGTAACATGTAGATCTGTTCAGTTCTGATGTAGTTTTCTTTTACTGCTTCTTAGTTTTTATACACACAGCTTCAGAGAGTATTTTGAGCTGTCCCCGGTGAGGAAGCTGCCGTTCTCTTTGTAGGAGTCCTTTCGGCGTCTGGGTAACGGGATTTCAGATGATCTGTCAAGCGAGGAAGACGGCGAAGCTCAGACCCAGATGATGATCCTGCGGAGGAGCGTGGAAGGGGCCTCGAGTGACAACGGCTGTGAAGTGAAGAGTCGGAAGTCCATACTTTCAAGGCACCTCAACACTCAGGTAATTTTTATTTTAGTTTATAAAAGTGTAGGCGTTAACTCCCACATCACGGAGCAGTAACAGAGTATGCAACGTGTTTTCCTGTTGTCGGTTGGCTTGATTTTGGCAGGTGAAGAAAACCACTTCCAAGTGGTGCCCTGTCATGCGGGATTCAGATAGTCTGGCTGAGTCAGAGTTCGAGTCGGCAGCCTTCAGTCAGGTAAAGTGTCCTTTTTTTTTCAAGGCGTATTCTTGAGTGTGACAACTTTATCCATTCCTTTTTTACTTGGTTGTCCTGAAGTAGTGTTTCTGTTTGCCTGACCCTCCCCTGCCTCCAGCTGTCTGCCTACCTATCTAGTAGCTTTTAATGACTGATTACTTACCCCTATGAAGAGAATAAGCTCTTTCTCTTTGAGCTAATCTTAAAAGTATCATAAGTGATGCTCAGAAAGAGATTCCTCAATCCCCAGATGATGAGAAGGCCAGTTATTATTCACTTGGAGTATGGCTTTTATTCTTGGGCGTCGTTCCTATGTAAGTGGGATTGATGATGATGAGGACAGATATTTGAGAAAGGACCCCTGAGAGACGGGAGCCGTAAATCTCATCATGAAAGCCAGTGGGCATTTTGTACATTTGGGACATTATAAATCAGAAGTGAGGTGAGTAGATGGCAGTGGCTCTTGTTATGATTGACAAGGCAGTTGGGGCTGTGGAAAAACTTTCATATTTTGTTTGTACCACAGGACAGCTGCAGTGTCCATCCTTTTCTCTGCCTGATCTTCCCATTCCCTGTTTGGCTGGGGCCCCGGACATGACTTGATCTGCAGTCAAGCTCACAGTGTTTAGAGTAGGGGACGCTGAGTCCGTCAGTAGGCTCAGCCACACCTCCATCCTCCAGATGTGCTTGCAGGAGTCACTCCCGTCCCAGGACACCTTAGGTGAACAATCCCATGACTTGGCTATAACTTCTCAGAGGGAGTGCTCTTTTATAGTCTGTTAGAGAGTCGTCAGAGTTTAGCATTTAAGTATTAAAATGTATTATTGTTATGTGAAGCCTTGTGATGGAACAGATACAATTTATGAAAGTTTGTCAGCTGTCACCATAGGTTAACTTGTTTTAATTTTATTTCGGATCTATAATTCTTTTTTAAAATCAATGAAAAAATTTTTTTTGGTTTTTGTTTTCCCCTGAAGGGCTCTAGATCTGGCATGAGTGGTGGCTCTCGAGGCCTCAACATGTCGAGAAGAGACTCAGAGAGCACCCGCCACGACTCGGAGACTGAGGACATGTTGTGGGACGACCTGCTGCACGGCCCTGAGTGCCGGTCGTCGGTCACCAGTGACAGTGAGGGGGCCCACGTGAACACCCTCCACCCAGGGACCAAACGCGACCCCAAAGAGGATGTTTTCCAGCAGGTCTGTAAAGGTGATGATGATAGTAGCTGATATTTAGTGTGTACTGACCATGTGCTGGCACTGTTTTATCTCATTCAACTTGGTGATAATCCTGTAAGGTGGGTACTATTTTTACCCCTAATTTAGACATGAGGAAATTGCCCACAATTTGTAAGTGAAGATGTCGGGATTAGAACTCAGGGGGAAGAACTCTTGAGTTCCCCTGACCTAAATTTTTCTTCCTTATGTTTGTTTATTTTCCTTAGGATGATCCTTAATGCCCTTTTATATGAGCAGGATACATTGTTTGGTACGTTAACCTCATATAATATTTTCAGAGACATCACATTGTTAACATATGAATTACAAGACTTGCTTCTCTAATGATGTATAAACCAAGTGATGCTGTTAATTTTAGGTTTTATTTTAATATAAAATCAGTTAGCCTAGAGATGGTGAATCCTTGGAAGGTATTTTAGCCTTCCAATGAACATAGGAATTCATTCTACAGCTGCAGAAATGTTTTTAAACCTATCACGTGGTAATATAATAGTTCCTACTTCTTAAGACTAATGTGATGTGTCTAATGAGATAATATAAAAAGTGCTTAGCACAATGCCTGGCAAAGAGTAAGCACCCAGTATGTGTTAACATTGTTACAACATCCCCATCAGCCGATCAGATCAGTTAGTCTCTGCTTAAATACTTGTGCGGCTGGAGTGATTGTTACTTCATGAGCTTGTTCCACTGCTGGACAGACCGAATGATTAAGAAATGGTTTTCATACCAACCTTCAGATGTTCAGTGAACAATGATGATGATTCTTCTTAGTTTTATTTTTCTTTATGATAAATATTTCCAGGATGACTTAATAAATAGTGTTGATGATGGATATTCATTTGTTTAATTATTGACTTTTCTTGATTCTAAGATACCATTGATTTAGGTTACACGTTTTAATGGGAAAAATCCTGCTTCATTAAATATATACAGTTTTCCAAAACTGTCTAGAAACAACATACGTTTTATCAAATAAAGTTTGAAGCTTTTCCCTCTGATCTTGCTATCAGAATTTGAATCTAAATATTCTTTACATTCAGTCTGAGGATTCATCCAAATTACATTAGCCCTTAATAGCTATGCATAATGTTATGATGATTTTGACCTCCTTTGTACTTTTGGGATTTACAGTGTAAATTTAAGGCATATGTAAGAATAACTAGGTAAGATTAAATTCACTACATCAAATAGAATCCATCATTTCCCAATTCTGCCACCTAACCTATTCTTTTATTCCCTGTATTTCTAAATGCTGCTGCTAATCACCCAAGACAGAAACCTTGGGGCCATTCCTCCCACCATGTTTCTAGTCGATCATCGCATTCTCTTGATTCTGCTGTACAGTATCTGCATCTGCCCCCCTGTGTCCACCCTGCTTGGTGCAGAGCATCATCAGCCCTCATCTGGATCCTTACAACAGCTTCTCCAGGCTAGCCCTCCCTTCGTTTCATTTTCCACACTGCAGCCAGAATGATGCTTCTCAAATACAAACCTGATGCCATTCCTCTTACCATCATTTGATTGCTTTCTTCTCCCTTCTGGATTATTTGCTTCTGTTCGTTTATTTGCTCTAATACAGTCTCATGTGGTATAATTTAACTCTACTGAACTTCTTCCAGTTTCCTCATGTGCTTCTGGGTCTTTACACAAACTGGTTTATTTGCCTGGAACACATCTTCTCCAATACCTATTCCTTTGGCTTGCTCCTTTTTGTTTTTCAGGTTTTGGCTTGACTGATACTTCTTTAAGAAGCCTTTTCTATATGCTCCTAAGCATTCTTCCCCCCCCGCAGTCATGCTTTGTGGTGACTCTATTTAGTCATGTCTCCTTCATAAGACTGTAAGCTCCGTGATGTCAAGGACCACATCTGTCTTGTTCTCTCTTGTATTCATAGTGCATGTTACATAGTAGCTACTTAATACATATTTTTGGCTAATCAATTAATATATCCATAAATGCTCATCAGCATTATGCTAAGCATCATTGGAGAAGGAGAAGAAATATTCCAAATGGCCTTTTTAAAGCAATTTATGTATTAGTTTGGGAAATAAATAGAAGACGCTATAAAAGCAGCATATAATGAGATGTGAATTTGTTTGATATAGACTATGAGGGTTTCTAATTTCAGAAAAGGGTAAAAATGGGTGAGGTTTGTGGCCATCAGAGAGGACACATTGGTGAAAAGGGACTTGAGTTGATATTTGACATGATATGGCAGAGGGAAATGCAGGGAGAGAAGAGACTGGTGAGGCTGAGCACTGGCAAAAGTGGCTGGGGAGCTGGACAGAGGGAAAAAGTCTAATGGAGGGAAGAAAGAAGGAGTGGTTGGAAATATTTATTTTTTCTTCTCAGAACCATTTATTCTGGCTTCAGAACTCAAGTCCTGCCTCTGATCGAGTTAGTGCAATAATCTGGGAAGGGAATGAGTGCAAAAAGATGGACATGTCTGTGTTGGAAATAAGTGGCATCATCATGAGCAGGGTAAGATTTCATAAGTTTTCAGATGTTTCCAAAAATCTATTTAGTGATCCGCAGCTATTTCACAGTATCTGTTTAATGATCAAAACAGTACCTCTGCTTTATGTGTATCTTAAATTTTATAGTCAGAGTCTTTACTTGGTAATGTAATTTTTTATCTGTTACAGAGGTCCCTGTGAGCATGATCAGTTGTTCAAATATATTCTACAAATATTCCTTATCTCATTTAGGCCTAACTTCTCTTTTTATGGGGAACTATCTTCTCTGTATTTAGGAAGAAAATTAACTTCGGTCACGTATTACCTTAAAAAAAAATCCAGTTTTCCAGCTTTACATATTTCTAATTAGATAGGACCAAATGATCAGAGAAATAAGTTCTTCTGTAAAAATTAGTCAAACTTTATAAAAAATCTAACATACAATTCAAATTATGTAAAGATTGCTTAGGATCATAACATTCCAAACATATGGCAATTTCAGGTCCATCCTGACTGGTGTGAAAGGTATTTGCTCACAGGTTGCTTTGGTCCAGAAGAATAGAGCTGAATCAGTAAGAGTAAACTACATACCTAATCTTTTGCCAGCATTAATTTAGAATGTTTTGGGCAGCAGAAATATCCATGATGAATAGTTCTACTATAAGAAAGTATAATGAAAGAATATTTTTCATGAACACATCACAGTCCCAGATAAAATTTTTATAAGAGAAAAACAAGAAGGAACAAAAAAATATGAAACAGCTACCACACAGTAAATAGTGTCTCCCCCATAACTGTATTTGAAGGGGTAAAGAGCTGATTTTAAAGGTCTGATGATGCTATATGAAAGGAAATGAGTATTGCATTTAATTATTACTTTATACAACTCTTACTCTTTATAGAAATGCTTGTAGTTATGCCCATAAAAGTGTAACCTGTGGCATCTGAAAGCAAACACTCTTTGTAATCAGGCCTTTTAAAAAATTATAATACAAAGTTCTGTGCTCAATAAGCAGGCCTGCACTGTGCATTATAACAAAAGCCTAATTTTTTTAAATTGAAGTACAGTCAGTTCCAATGTGTCAGTTTCTGGTGTACAGCACAATGTCCCAATCACGCATATATACATACATACATACATATATTCATTTTCATATTCTTTGACATTAAAGGTTATTACAAGATATTGAACATAGTTCCCTGTGCTATACAGAAGAATTTTTTAAATCTATTTTTATATATAGTGAGCAAAAGCCTAATTTTTAATAAGATCTAACAGTCACATATTTGTACATCATTTAAATTTGTATTTCTTTTAGATTTAAAACAGATTTACTTTTTAACACTTTAAAAATTATATTTGATAAACACTGCTTCATAGCTCCATCTAGCTATGCAATAATGATGGACATTTTAAATTAATTCCCAGGTGAATGCCTATCAGCAAGGAGTAGGTTATCAGATGCTGGGAAATGTCGTCACCATCGGATTAGCATTTTTTCCTTTTTTACATCGACTTTTCCGTGAGAAGAGCCTTGACCAACTCAAGTCCATCTCAGCTGAGGAGATCTTGACTCTCTTTTGTGGGGCACCCCCTGTCACGCCTATTATTATTTTGTCTATAATTAATTTTTTTGAACGATTGTGTCTTACTTGGATGTTTTTTTTCATGATGTGTGTAGCAGAGAGAACATATAAACAGGTTGGTTGTAAATTAAGTAAAATTTCTCACCTCCCTTTTGTGTATTGTATTCCATCGAGTTGCTTGTGTTCTCTTGATTTGTTCTCTCTCCAAAAGTTCATATGGACAATGAAGGATTGAGCAGTGGACTTTTGCTATTTGGGCATTTAACACTTATGATAGCTATCACAATGACGTGTTGTAATCTGAAATTTTCCTGAGCCCACATGTAGGAGTGAGTGATGTGCATTTGCTGTTTTGTATACATAGCATATGTAGTAATTCTCAAAGTGAAAATGGTTCTGTGAAAAGTAGCCAAGTGAGAAATAAATTTATTGAAATTTGATAAGGCTTAGGGATTCAGAACTTAATTTATTGGTGACATGTGCAAAAAAATGTGGTTTTGAATGGAAATGTAGTTTGAGAGTAAGCCAGAATTTTGTATAGACATTTGAATTTGTGAAGGTGGAGATTCACAAAGTTTGACATCTTGAAAATGTCAAGAGTGTACCACATTATGTAGAAGTATGTTACTACATAATGTGCTTTGCAAGGAACAGGTTAATGAGCTATTAACAATGCTTTTTCACTGCCTGTCTTAGTGACCGCTGATTAGAACCTGATCTTTTTAATGTTTTTTATGCTGGGAATGTTGTTTACAATTATATAAATATATATATATAAATATATACAAATAAATATATATAAATATATAAATATACAGTGACACATATGTTCATTTCACTTTGTGATTTTTTTTTAACTTCTAGAGATTTTTATTTGCAAAACTCTTCAGCCATATTACTTCTGCCAGGAAAGCTAGGAAGTATGAAATACCTCATTTCAGACTTAAAAAGGTGGAGAACATTAAGATATGGTTATCACTGCGTTCCTTTCTAAAGGTGAGTTTTATTTGACTAACAGTGGAATATGCAGGAATACTCAGAAAACATGCCAAGTGGAATTTCTGGTGACAGATGCTCAGTGGGCAGTGTAGTTCTGTGTACTGGACAGACTCTGTCAGTGGCTGACAGACTGGTCAGCCAGTTGGGAGTGATCTATCTACAAAGCTGGTAGAGATACGTACATAAAGCTTAGAAAGGGAAAAGAAAATTTAAATTCCTACGACAGAGTGATAAACTGAACGTTGCATCTTTTTCTAACTTTTTGGCAAATATTCCAACTGAAAGCATGTTTGTGAATCAGTCACACCCTTAATTTGAATAGCATGGATCTCAGAGCTTAATTAAAGTTGAAGATGTCCAAAATATATTAAAATCCTGTGTCAGAGACTTCTTATAAATGTTTATTTTCACATCAGTGTAGTAAAGTTCAGAGTGTGAATGATGTGAGGGCTGTTGCTGGCTCCAGTGGTGATGTAAGACGTTAACGACGTGTCTCACTCCACAGAGACGGGGCCCGCAGCGTTCAGTGGATGTTGTCGTGTCTTCAGTCTTCTTACTGACACTTTCCATTGCTTTCATTTGTTGTGCCCAGGTAAGTTTCAGATCTGTTTCAGTGAAAATGGAAAACAGCGTTCAGTTCTGCTTTAAACCAGTTCACTGTGGTTAAGTGTGTACATGTATATAATATTACTAGGTGCATGGCTGAAATTTCCTGTGTCCTTACTCATTGTTTTGGTTTACTTATTCTGTCAGCCATTGAGAGAGGTGTGGTCAAGTCTGCCCTGATGGTGGATTTATCTTTTCCTCTTACTTCTGTCAGTTTTTATTTTTGCTCTCTATATTTTTAAGCAGTATAACTGGGTGCATGCAGATTTAGAATTGTTATGCATCTTCTTGGTATATGGACTTTTACGTCCTTTATTTTTTTCTTAATCCAGGATCACATCATTGCATTTAGTTATCATGTCTCTTTAATCTCCTTTAATCCTGAATAGTGTCAGGCTTTATCTTTCATGACCTTATGAAATGTCTCTATTTCTAATGTTTCTTAACTTGAAGTCTACTCTAATTGATATTAATTTAACTACACCAGTTGCGTTTTGATTGGTTTTTGTATGCATATCTTTGTCTACCCGCTTTCACATACTTTGTCTGCAGATTTTAGTTGTGTCTCATAATCAGCGTATCCGTCTTTGGTTGCTTATTCCTTAATCCAGCTGCACAGTTTTAATGTTTTGGAATGTCTCGCCCAGTTAAACTTAATGTAATTACTATAATCGCAAATGTTACTTGGTTCTTATTTGGTCTACCTATTAATTTTCCTTTTTCTCTCCCTTTTTGCCATCTTTTATTAATTAAATATTCTTTAAGATTTTTTTTAATCTTCTCTGTTAACTTTGTATAGGTTCGTTTACTCCTATTGACCAGAGTTTACTACATTCTTACTTATTATAGTCTAATAAAATGATTAATTTGCCAGTTGCTTGATAGTGCCAGGATCTTACAACACTTTATCTCATTTACATACTCACTTTTTGTGTTATTAGTATTCTTCATTTCAATTTTACATGTATTTAAACCTACAAGATGTAATTATTGCTTTTTGTAGTTAATTATTCATTTAAATTCACCTGTATATTTATCCTTTTCATTACTTTTCATTAGTTTGTGCATTTCTTTGTTTTTCTCTGAAATTAGTTTCTTCCTGCTTGAAGAATCTGCGGGTGATGAATTCTCTGTTTTTGTTTGTTTGAAAATGTCTTTCACCATTTTTATGTTGGAAGGATATTTTCACCGGGTATAGATTTCTAGGTTGTAGTTTCAGCACTTCTAGGATTCTGTTACAATTTCCATCTTTTATCTTGAGACATCAGTGTTAGTCTTATTGCTGCCCTTTTAAAAGTAATGTCCCTTTTCTCTGGCTGGTTTTAAGAGTTTTTCTTTGTGTTTGGTTTTATAGCAGTTTGGCTGGGGTTCGTGTATTAGTTAGCTCTTGTGTCACGCTGGGGAAGAGGTGAGCCTAGGTTGCTACTAGCTGTCACTTTCCTCCCCTGTGTACTAACTGGCAGGAGTGAGTGCCTGACTCAGACTCAGTAAACATATTCCCTCTTTTGTATTAGAAATGAAAGTCTGAGGCATCAGTGGCAGAGTTTGGAGAAGACAGGTCAGGAGGGGTCAGTGGGGTCAGTAGGATGCTCAGACAAACCGAAGCAGGAGCAAGCCAGAGTTAGAGGGGAGCAGTAAACAGGGTCTTGCAAGGCAGTGGAACTGGCTGAGAGGAGTGGAGGTGGGAGCCCAAATGGCCCTGGTGGGAGATGGAGAGGGCAGCCACCGCTGATTCCTGTTTTTCAAAGGCCTGTATTCAGTTTCCATGAGGGTTCTCTGTATATTTTTCAGTAAATCCCATTTTACCTTGGGCTTGCTTGGGTGAACTTTTTTACATTTCAAGCAATGAAAATTTTGAAGAAAACAAAAACTTTTACCTGGAAACTTGACACATCACAGGCACTTGGTAACTGGTGGCAGCTGCTGCTGTCATTCAGAGCCTAAGGTGGAGTAAAGGACTGACCCTCAGGATTTTCTGCTCATGGGGGCTGGGCCACATGTTTTAGGGAGTCAAATGCAGATTTAATCCTTTGAAAAATGGGCACCAGGTAATTGTGAGGGGTCAGAGAACTTGGAAATGCATTCGTCTTACCGTGTTATGGTTTTTTTTTTTTTACATTTTTTATTGATTCATAATCATTTTACAGTGTTGTGTCAAATTCCAGTGTTCAGCACAATTTTTCAGTCATTCATGGACATATACACACTCATTGTTTCCTCCTCAGTTACTTCCAGACCCTTGCTGTCTTTCATGCAAAGGAGAAAAACCTAGGAAACTTAGAGAAATACATAATGACTAATTACATAGATAATACTTCATGAATATTAAAACTTTCCTGCCATAAGTATTTAAATATTGTTATCTTGTAAAAGTTTTTAAATTGCTAGAGTAAAGGAGTAATTATAGATTTTAAGACAAATGAAAAGCTTAACTTTTTTGGGTCCTTTTTACAGGTTCTCCGGGGACATAAAACTTTCCTGAATGATGCTTATAACTGGGAGTTTTTGATCTGGGAAACAGCTTTGCTACTTTTCTTACTGCGCCTGGCCTCGCTGGGGTCTGAAACCAATAAGAAATACAGCAATGTTTCAATATTACTTACTGAACAGGTATTGTTTGGCCCATGTCAGTTTGGTTCAGTGGTTAGAGACGGCATAATAAGGTTTGTGCAGAAGATTCAGGGTGGAGTCTAGATTCTGTCACTTTCTAGCTATGTGACCTTCCAGCTTAAAAGTCACTTTGCAACTATATGATTTTTCCCTTCTTGTAAAATGAGTATAATGTTTTACCCACCTGCTCTCAGGATTGGATGCTACTTTGTAGTATGAAAATTATTTTTATTGGTGGTAACGGAGCATGCTTTTGGTCCCATATTCTATGTCAAGTATTAGATCTTTAGAATCCCTTCATTAGAGTATGTTTAATAAGCTTCTTGAATTTCTTCTCTATCAGTCATAGAATACAACCAAGTGTTCAGAAAATATTTTCTCTTTAGTATGTGAATAGATATTAAGATTAAAAAACGTTTCTTATAAATACGGAGTAATATAAAGTTTTTTTTTAAATTTCATGGGTATTTATAAGTTTTAAATAAAAATATCTGGTATCATTAGTTTTTATTTTTTGCCTTAGAAATATAATGGAGAGTTCTTCCTACAAGGCAAAAACTAAGGGATTGGGAAGTTAAAAGCAGCTGTCTTCTTCCGGTCCATACATGTTTAATGAGGGTGTTAGATCACTTGTGGGATACCGAGATGAGCAAAATACAGTTTTTGAACTCAAGGAATTTACACTTCAATTACTATCATTAATATAAAAATTTCCCTTGTTTTAATAAATTGCTTCATCATTTTTTAATTCATTATAGCTTTTCTTTGCCAAATGTGACTGACTGAGGGACGGGGGGTTGGGTACATGACATATGTGCTCTGTAGAAATAGCTACTGAAATTTTGAAGTTTATTTTACTTGAAAACATTGCCCTCAGAGCCTGCCAAATTGAATGCAATATATATATATATATCTTTTCCATGGCATTTGCTTTAATCTGTATTCCTTCCCTTAGATTAATTTATATCTTAAAATGGAAAAAAAGCCGAATAAGAAAGAACAGCTTACTCTAGTAAACAATGTGCTAAAGCTATCCACCAAGTTGTTGAAAGTAAGTAATATCCCGTGATACATTTTTATTACCATTTAAAGTAAATCAGTGCTGTGCTTGGAGAAGACCCTAGTAACAGATAGATGCCAGGCTATGTAGATTCAGAATGCCAGCCGGATAGTTTGGGGTTAATGACTCTGAGAAAAACTTTCCCATCTTGCTACCCAAGTTCTTGTGTTGCTGATATCTGTGACCTTTTAAAATTACACTTAAAAAAATCACAAATAGCATATTGCTTGAACCCACCTTTAAAAACTTAGCTAGTGGAAAAGTAGGCGAGAATCCATTACAGGTTTTTTTGAAGGTAGCTATTGACATTAAGGGAAGAGGCCTTAAGCAGTCATCTTCCCCTAAAACTCAAAAAACAGCCCAGAAATCACCGATAGCTATTGTGAAACCATGTATTTCATCTCAGTTCTTTTCATGTTTTTGTAGGAGTTGGACACACCATTTAGACTCTATGGACTGACGATGAATCCCTTAATCTACAACATCACACGAGTAGTTATCCTTTCTGCTGTCTCAGGTGTTATAAGTGATCTTCTAGGATTTAATATAAGAGTAAGTGTGATTACCTCTGGTAGCATCTGCCTTAGTCTTAAAATTTACTATATATGATAATCTTTGTTCTTCCTACTATGTGTGTGTCTGTGTGAGAGGCAGGGGGCAGGGGCAGAGAGGAAGAGAGAGGAAGGGAGGAAGGCATGGAGAGAGGGAGGGCCTGGCATGGAAATAACTTGAGGTAGAGAAATAGACATTGGAAATAGACATTCAGCTTAGGTTTTCTCATTTTACACAAGTATAATAGACTGCTCTTGAGTGAAACATAAAAAGCAAGTTTGAATCTCACGTCTATTTAATAGCATGGGCTGGGTTGGCTTCTGATATCGGGAAAGGTATGGAGGCAGAATGAATGAAAACCAAAACCCCATGAGCTGCAGTATATCATTTTTGATCCTGGAAATTGTTAATGTTTTTTCTCGACGATGTTCTATGGTTGCTATTGCCAGAGTTGGCACTTTTTTTCTTACGTAAAGGGTTCTTGATTCATAGTCAGGTAAGTGTACCATCAACCCCACCTGTTTGTCCTAAAACTAACTTATTTTGGTGATTTTTCTTTTCTCAGCTGTGGAAAATTAAGTCATAAGCTGAGTCATGTGCCTGGACTCTCTCCCCTTGCTGGCATCAGTGCTTCACCTGTTAAGGAAAGAGATGACTGTAAGACCACGAGGACACCCACCTGCTTGTTCACCCGCAGAGGTGCCCTCCATTCTGCCTAATCTAACCAGTGGTGTTTTCAGAGGAACAAATCCTTTTCCAACTGAGCGTGCATGCTAAAAAGCTGTATTTTCATGGTTTTCAAATAGTGTGAATAGTCAGGAGACTAAAGACCACTGTGTTATGGCAACATAAGGACAATTTTTTAAAGTTAGGAAATTTATTCTGGGCATTTCAGTGCTGTGACAGTTATATTTACTGAAAATACTCTTCTGGGTAACTATGGTAGTTGCCCAAAGCATGAAGCAAATATCCTTTATTGGAAATATGCAAATTCAGTACTTTTCTATTACAATCTATAGAATTGGAGATTTCATTTCTCTGGCAAAGAGAGATCAAGTTTAAACTATTCCAGGTTGAACCCAAATAAAAGAACTTTATTGGAGAATTTCAGTTTCTAGGCTTTTTTTGTTGTTGTTGAAAGAAAAAAGATAACCTTTTAAACTGTGACTTTCTGTTAAACTATGGAGAAAATTTTAATTAGTTTATAATTTTGAAGTTAATCCTAATAACTGTATAGTTGTTGGTGAGAGTCATGCATACAAGGCACGTAATTCAGCATGAGAAATTGAAGGATACGCACACTCACCCATGTCCACCGAGCACCATGCTTTCTGTTTCAATCACCGGACTTGCGTTTCCCATGGCAGTGCTAAGTGAAGCATCAATAGTTTGTGTTGTGCTGCTTAACGTATTCAACTCTCAGTACAATCTCAGGTTCTCAGTGTCTATATTCAGCCAAGCTCTGGCACTGATGACTTGGATTCTCTTGTCAGCACCCTCATCACACACGCAGGCATGTACATAAGTTAATGGAAACTCTCATAGTCTGCATACAATTCTTGCTCATTAACTTACGTGCTTTCAGGAATCTCTTGAGGCAGGTTGAAAGCCCACATTTTAATAAGATTTTGTGACTTTTAAAATGGAAATAATTAAGAAACTTAGTTATTACATGTAAAATATGTACATGCAAAATCAGGCTATTATTTACACATATCCTAATTTTTGAGGTTTAAAGATGAATTTCTCAAGGCCAGGGACTGAGGTCAGACCTTTCTGGATTCATATTCTTGGCTCTATCACTTAATAGCTTCATAATCTAAGGCAAGTTACTTAACTTTTTTGCATCTCAGTTTCCTTACCTGTTCAATGGGGATAAAAACTACCTAAGGTTAAATGAGATTATGATGTAAGGTACTTAACACAGCATAAAGTACTTAGCACTTAGTAAATACACAATCAACATTTGTAATTACTGTTTAAAACCCTTTAAAAATCTTTTGTTGATAGTTTCCTAACTGTGAAGATAGAAACACAGGGGCAGGGTTGCTGAACTAGAAGTGAATTACCAAAAATTTGCAGCCATTCTAAATGCTTCCTGAGAGTTACAATTCTTTAAAAAGGTAAAACCCCACTATGGTGATTAACCTCTAGAAGGAACTGTTCTGTAAAGGCACTTCAGTGTCTCAACAGGTGGCTCATGGAAATCATGCTGGAACTATTTTCCATAAGGAACAACAGCAACATCTCAAATCCAAGACTGAGCTGCTCAGTGTAGATTTCAGATGAACAAACCTAATGCCTTCATCTTTTTCTCCTACAGAAAACTGCTGTTCTGTGTTTTACGCAGTGAATCTTTCAGCTCAAATGCAGTATGTAGAATAGTTTACTCTTGAGTTGTTTTAGTTATGGTTTGATGGGGTATAATTGGTTTAAATGATTTTTCAGGTGGTAAAATCATATGTAAGTAGAGTTGCTCATCACAGAAACTTGGGAATCATTTTTGACTCTTGCGTCTTTCTCACACTTGACATCCAATCTCTGAGTCTTTGAATAATTATCTTCTAGATACTTTCCCAGTCAGTCCTTTCTCCATCCCCACTTCCACCACCTTCATGTGAGTCAGTGCCTTTTGTTTTTGAACAAGATTCTGCTTTTCTGCCCTTACATATGCATATTACCCCCTCCCCCATGCCCGCCTGTTCGTCTCAAAAGCTAATGTGTCTTTTCTGAAATGCAACTCTCATCATGTAGAATCGGTTAATGATTTAGGATTACTTTGAAGATAAAAATCCAAAATCTTTTTAGCAGAGTGTACAGGCCTACCCTGTTGAGTAACATTTTGAAATCTTTATGTTTGAAAGATATTTTGTGCTGGGCATAAAATTCTAGTTTTCAAGATGTTGCTCTTTAATTTGTCTGTTGAATTATAATGTGCGTTGGTATAGTTTTCTTCATTTTTTTTTTGTGCCTGGAATTTGTAGCACTTACTGGAAATCTGGGTTTATAGTTTTCATCAAATTTGGAAAATTTTGGCTGTTATTTCTTAAAATAAGTTTTCTCTCTCCCAGTCTCACCCACCTCCTCCTGCGACTCCAGTTCACATGCATATTGGGCTGTTTGAAGTGGCCGCACAGCTTACTGGTATTCTGTACGTTGTCCCCGTCTTCTTTCTCTGTCTTTAATCTTGGATAGTTTCTATTGCGGTGCCATCAAGTTCACTAACCTATTTTTCTGCACTAATTTCCCACCCAATGTATTTTTGTCTACAGACGTTTGATTTTGCTTTTTTGGTTTTCATATCTTCCATGTCTCTTTAACATGCTATTTCTTTTCTCCACCTTGTTAACATAATATTTACAATAGAAATTGTAAATAAGGACATTAAAACAGCTATCATTAGTGTCATTTGGGGTTTTTAATTGATTTACTTTTCTCCTCATTTTGGGTCCTATGTTCCTGCCTCTCTGCATGCCTAGCAATTTCTTATTGGGTGTGGGTTTTTATATTGTTGGGTGTTGGGTTTTTGTGTATATGTGCGTATTAAGTATTCTCGAGCTTTGTCTTAGAATGCAGTCGAGTTACTTGGAAACAGTTTGATCATTTCAAGGCTTGTTTTTAAGCTTTGTTAGGTGGGCCCGAGCAGCCTTGAGTCTTGGACTACTTTTCTCCACTAGTGAAGTGAGCTCCTCCAAAGGATTCTACTCGATGCCCTCTTCGTGGTAAGGGTTTTCCAGTTTTGACAGTAGGAACATGAATTATTCCCAGCTCAAGAATTTTTGGCCTGCTTCTTTTTGGTGGTTCTTTCCCTGTTGTTGAGTATTTCCTTGTGCTGATCAACACTCTCCTGAAGACCTCAGAGGAACCCTGTGTGCATCTTTGGTACTCTCTTCTCTCTGTGCAGCTGTCTTCTCTCTGGTCCTCGGCCCTGCCAATTCTAGCTGATCTGGCCTCCCGAAATTCTTAACTTTTGTCTCCTCAACTCAGCCAGACTGCTTGGCTTGGGTTGGGTTCCCCTTCTTGCACCACAGCCTAGCAACTGCCTCCAAGCGACCTGGGCAGTCATGGGGCTCACTCCATTTAACGCCACCATCTTTTACTGCCTGTTGTCCAATATCTAACACCCATTTTTTCATATATATTTTTCCTTTTTTTTTAAAGTTAAGATGGGAGAGTAAATGTTTTTCTACCTTAGTAAATGGAACAAAGTTTACTCAATTGTTCAAGCCAAAGGCTTAGGGTTTTTTCCTGGTTCCTCTCTCTTCTTCTGTATCTAACCTGCCGCCCAGTCACATCAGTTCTGTTTCCCCAGCTACCAGGCTAAGCCTCCTTCTCCTGGTTACTGTGCTGACCCGCTGTTCTCGCTCCTCCCTGGCCTCCCTCAGCCACATAAATGAGCTTAAAAATACGGAAACTATAAAACTGTATGATTCCTGCTTTCTCTTCCTGGCTTTCCCTGTGGTGGCCTCCAAGACCTTCCTCGTCAGGCCTGACTCCCTTTCCAGTTTCACCTTCTCGGTACCTGACAACCACACCACACTGGCTCCCTCCTGTTCCTCCGTTATACCAACTTCTTTCTTATTTCAGGCAGCGCCTGGAATATGTTTTCTTAAGCTCTCCCCTGAATGTCTTCTCAGCTGTCAGCTTCTCAGCAGGACCTTCTCTGATGACCTGAGTGACAGCAGCTCCCCGCCTTACCCTTTTTGTCAGTTACACGGCCCTGTTCATGTCCTTCATGGCACTTATCAAAATCAGATTATCTTGTTTATTTTTTTGCCTATTTGTTTATTTTTTTGTTTCTGTCCTTCCCGATTAGAATGTAAGCCTCGTAAGGCAAGGAATTTTTGTGGTTTTTCACTCCTAGGTCCTCAGAATGCAGAAGAGTACCTGACCCCATAATAGGTGCTCGGTGGTACTCATTAGCAATGTATAAAATGAATGAAGAATGGATCTCAACTAATTTGCCATTTATGCAGTATTTTCCCTGTTAGGATGGAAGACTTGTACTCTCAGTGCTTCATTTATTCCTGTACAATAACTTCTAAGAACTTGGACTTTTGTTTTAATCACCCAAAAGGAGTGAAATATAATTGACAAAATTTACCTATTATTTAGAAATTAAACCAAGATGTAAGAACTAGATTAGGGCATTCATATATTTAATTGAAATAGTAATAACCCTAGAAAACGAAGGAAAATACTTGTTCAGTTAACTTTACAATTGTATAGGGAAAAATTATCCTTCCTAAAATTGCTATGGAGGTCTAACTTCAAACTTCCTAAATATGTATATTATGCCTCATGTATAATATAAACACTGAAAAGTCGAATATCCAAATACTTGCCTAATTGGGGTATGGTTTTCTTGACTTTCAGAGACAAGTAGAAAAATTCTAAATGCCAGGATGTCCTACAAAGTATAAGCTTACAGGTCTGTTTTTATTTTTGGTACATTGTATCTAGAGGTAAGTGAACCCATGCACTGCAAAAATAACCCTCTTGTAAGTTCGTGACATTCATTTTTAACATTTTAGAACTACCGCTCTATAATGGGCCAAATGGGTCTCACTCCCAAATACAGCATATGATTTGGGATAATCAAGAAGTAAATTCATTAATCTCATGCATTGATTAGACTGTCATTTAAAGTAATCCTTTGCTTCTTGCAGTTACTGGTGCCCATCTAGAATAACGCAGTTTGAATTTCACAATGTGCAGCAATTCCATGCCTTTCCTGCAGCACGCTCTGAGCCTATACGCTGTAATGAGGTATTACTCCAGGTAACAGGTGGTGGTTGTTTATTAAGGACAAAATAAGCCTCTTGGTTTGCGTATTTGTTAGTAGTTCTGCTTGACCTTAATGCAAATATTGTCAAATAGACAAATACCCACAGGATTCTTTGTAAAAAATATAGGTTCAGGTTAAATTAAAGCACTTGGCTGTATTTTTGTATTTTAATTTTTATGTGCAAAATGTTCAGAGTTCTTTAACAGAGAATTCTAGTTCTCATAGACCTTCATACTCTCTTCTTATACTTAAGTAAAGCCTTTTTACTTGCAAAAAGCAAGACTGAAAACAGATCCAAGTTATCGGATATCTTAAAGTAATTCAGTTAACTCAAGCAGAGAGTGTAGATTTCATGCAATGATTATGGCATGTGGTAAACAAGTCATCGCATTGCTGATAAACCTTAACAGCGTGACCAGTAAAGAGCTGCCTAAGTGAAATCTGTTACCATGTAAAAAAGCACAAGTGGTTGTTAGCACTGGCGCATGCCAGGATGATGTAAGAAGTTGTTGTGATGTATTCTTCATACCAGACTGAAACATCACGTTTTGTGACTGAAGTCTGTTTACACCAGTGTCCCTTATTTCCTGGACCTCACTCTGGATTGAGCTTCAGCTTAAACACATCGTAGTGGAGGTCATTAGTCAGACTGTCACATAGTTTACCTAATTTGAGTACTCCTTGCTTTCTTAAAAACCCAATTCTTTTTGAATGTTGGGTATATTAAATATGAAATTCTTCATTTGTCCACATGTTTAAAAGCAATTAACTTTTTCTACATGAGACTATTAAAAAAGTAAATAACCAACATATTCTCATGTAGAAATAAAAAGCCAAATGCTTTTCTGTGTCCAAGACTTCTGAAATAGCAATTGATGCTGTACAAAAGCTACTTGGTCCAAAAAATTTGTTGTTAAGTAGGTTAGAAAACAGCATTATAGAACCTTACTAATCTCTCTAGGGAGGCAATGTGATAGCATCCCAGAACTTTTTTGCTCTTGTCAGTGAGGCAATGTGTCCACTAAACCAACAACAAAGTGATTTTGCTGTGACACCCATCTCCATGGTCGGGCTTGGGAGCCAGGGGTCTCATGTTTATTTTTAGTGTGGGTTCACGCTGGTAGGTAGGAGTTAATTTTTCTCTTCAAGAGTATTAAGTTAACCATTGTCTTGAAATAGGTTTTAAACTTCATTTATAGCAAGAATTCAAGTGAAATCAAGTCAAGACACTTCATTCTAAAAGTAAGTACAACCTATAGCAAATAAAACGATTTAAAAATAACGTGAAATGCCATAGTCTGATGAAACAGAGTTTGTGACCTTGCGGTAACTGGACTGGTACTATTGTGTCCATTAGAAATGTCTAGGACCGATTTCCAATAAGACAAGTCCTTTTCTCTCCCTGACAGTATAAGGATTTTGGGGGGAAGCAAATTATTTATGCAAAGCTATTTTCCTTACAATGAAGGGTATGAGGTAGCTGTAATGACTTTTACCTCTAATTTTAATCTTTACACATATAGCTATGCAGGAAAAGTCATCATTTTAAGAGTCTTCCTGATTGTAGGACTCTGAATGTTTGTTACGTGCAGAGACAAAATCTATTAGCGGACTCAGATCATGATGACAATTAGCTCCATAAATAGAGAGCAACATTAAATAAACCTGATGGTAAAAGAAATGCAGGCCATAAACATTCTGGTTTGGTTTTTTTAATATCTATATAAAAAATAACGAGCGATTTACAGATCTTTCTCTAATCAGAACCTCAGGTGTATATATAAAGGTACTGTACAATATATAAACATTTACAACCAGTACATCCATATTTTGCTTAGCATTCCAAGGCCACATTGCTAAGTCGGTATATAATCAGTACAGTGACAGGTTACTGAGGAAAGAGCCACTTCAGACTGACAACATATGACATCAAAGTTATGTCACAGTTAACAATAAAAATAGGATTTTTTTATCACTAATTGTGGACTATAGGGAAAATAAATCATTTCTGTGGTACTAAATTTTTAGCGTTTATCAAGCCTTCTAATTTTGCTCTATTCAAGTAGTTACAATAGGTGGGTAAATATAGTTCTGGATGAAAAGGGGGTTTCAGAACTCTCACTCTGGGAAACAGGTCTTATCTACAGGGGCTGATTCAGTTGTTACAGTGAAGAATTTCACAGTCGGACTCTGAGAGGGAAGGACCAGGACATGATGTGTTCACAATAATGAGATGAACCCAGGGCAACAGAACAAGTGTGTTCAACTACTCCATAAAATGGTTTTATTCTGAGTGCGCCTTTATTTATAGATGCTACTGAATGCTGCTTCCGGGGGCTGAAAAACCTGGATCTATTTTATGGAGTTAAAAACTCTCAACCTTCCAACAAACATTTCTAATTGACTTACAAATTTTTTCTGCTTAGCTTGTACAAAATTTCACATGTTTAGTCTCCCTTTCTTGTGTTTAAATGTTAATGTAGCTAGAAATTAAAATGAAATAAGATCTAGCAAAGACTGTCTCCCACCACCTTTGTCCTCATGTGCTGAGCCCGTCCCATGCAGGTTCTGCTTCTAAACACACGGACTTGTACAGCTGCTACCAGAGGGGCTGGCACTCCACCTGGCAACGGACTGTGGAGCTGGTTTCCTAAGTCCCTCTTCAAAGACATATTGTGTATTAATGACTAATGACTTAGGAGTTGGTTCAACTGAAATACCCAGACATAGAAATTTGGTAGTTTTTCTTCAAACAGCGATAAGCAGTATGGTCCGTGTGCTTTGTTGTGGTGTTACAGTAAAATAACTGAAATAAAAAGGTGGTCTGGGATGCTACAGCACTTGAGGGTTGGGTAACATAGCAGGAGGTGAACTCTTAATTGCCTGAAGTATTTTCTCCTTGGAACATACATTTGTTAAGTCATATCTTTAACAGTGACTTGAAATACCTTATGCAGCCGAATTAACATAAAAAACTGGAAGAAGGCCAGTATTTGACTACATTTTTTTTCTTTACAGTAGTGACGTTTGAGGTTGTATTTTTAAACTGGGACACCATCAGTAGCTGTTACAAGCAGCAACGGCCGCCTTTAATGATTTAACAATCTCTTCTTCTGCAGGGGCTCAACTACGTCTCTCTAAACATGCAACATGCTATTGAGAATATCAACTTCCAAGCCAAAGCTAGTTTTTTTCATTAGTGTGGAAATATGTTTGTGAGAAGGATAAAATAGACATGATACAGTAGATAACTTGGCACAAATGTAACGGGAGTTGTGACCACGCTGTGGGTATCACTGCGTCATGTGTGGGGACGCCCGGGGAGACGAGGTGGTGCGAGCGAGGAGAGGCAGCCGGCGGGGGGCAGTGGATTCGTAGCAATCCTAAAGGCCCTTCATGCAGCCAGCTAACTCGATGCTCAAATTAAAATGTACTTAGGTGTGTTTCAGAATTTCTGAAAAATTTGATTTTTTGGAGGGGTAGGAAATGCTGCTTTTTAATAAGAAAAGGTGATTGTGTTTCCTTGCTTTACACTGAAGGTCACAGCCGCTTCTCGGCCACACCAGTAGTGCCTGTGGCTCTGCCTGCACTGGGCACCTTCCACGGCCCTGGCGTGATGGGTGTTTTCTTAACTGGAGAACCGCTCTCAGGTCTGAGTCCTCCGCTCTCTTTGTTTTTGTCAGCCACCTCTACTTCTTTGCCTTTGTGATCTTCTATTTTGTTTAAAACCGTTCTTTCTTCGGGTTCCTGCTTCAGCTTCTTTTCTGCCATTTTGACATTTTCTCCTGTTTTCTCTTTACTGGAACTTGCTTCTCCTAAGGTTGCTTTCTTCCCTGATACTACTCTACCAGCTGGGTTAGTCTTTTTGGATGGAAGAGACGTTTCATCCGTTCTCTTGCTCTTTTTCTCTGGAGACCTGGTTCTGTTTTTTCCGGGCTGACTCTGGTTCGGATCTCTCCTGCTGACACCTGCGCTTTCCCTCCCACCTGCGCTCTGCTCAGCACTGTCACTGGCACGGCCCCCTCCTCTTCCACTCGCACTTGGTTGGTCTTTGCTCCCTTCAGGTTTTTGCTGCTTCTTTGGGCTTGAAGACCGTCCTCTGCTTTTTTTGCAGTGATCTTGTCCAGAACCTGCCCCCGTGCTGATCTGACAACTTTTATTCTCCCCTTTCCTGGGGCTGAGTGATCGATCTCTGGGTCTTCTTTTGGGGTCATGTTTTAGAGGACTGGGAATCTTTTCCGAGGATTGCTCCTCTGAATAGCGACTGGCTGACTTTTTGGGACTAGCAGATCTACCTCTTTGTGTGACACCATTTTCTACTTTCAAGAGATTTTTCTTATCACTGTGCCCATGACTGTTGGTTGGATCCCTTTTATTCACATTTTTATGAAGAAGAGATTGATGCTTTAAATCAGGTTGATTTTCATTTAAAGTGCTTTTCTTTTCAGGCACAATGTCCTTGAATTCTTCTGCCCTTTCACATATCTGAACTCTCGTTAAAGATTCTTCACTTAGTGGCACATGAGACTCTTCAAATATGGAAGCAGTGTGTGAAGATGGGGGAAATGGTGACTGTTCATCATAAATCACGTTTGAAGATGAAGGACTATTAGTATCCCAATCATCTAAAAAAAAGTGATTTGAATAGAATATTATTACATTTTAGGATTATGAATAGGAACAATTAAGTTTTGAACTGTGACAGCCATTTGAATTGCACTAACTGCTTAAACAGCCTGAGTATTTTAAGAAGTTTACGTATGTTTAGATCTCGCTATATAAAGCCAGATGTATACGGACAGCTGTACTTGAACGTGAAGGGTAGGTTATTTTATATATATATACAAAATAATATTACACAAAATAATTAGAAAAATGAATACTAAGTGAAGTATATGATGTGTAGATTCTTTATAAATAGTAAAAGCCCAATTAAAAAAACCTTAAATAAATAATGAGATCAGACCAAAGTACCTGGTCCAAGCAGCTTACTGATGCAGCTATTACTGATGGACACAGCTTAAGGATAGGCCAGAATCACTAATAAAGGAGCCAAATTATGGTACCAGAATGGAATTCATGGGCATTTGTCAATCATTTTCTTGCATTAAGCTGCCAAATTTAATGTCAAAAGGAAACTGAAAAGTGCAGAAGATAGAAGTAGATGTATTTAATTAGCATCATTTTTAATTAAAAAGAAGGAAGTGATTTACAAGACATGCAAATTTACCAAGTCTTTTTAAGGAAAGACCAAGAAAAGCCCTGAAAGCCTTAATGTTGCTCAGGTTTCACGTAGGAGCACAGACCGGAAGGAGCCAAACCTGAAGAAGGAAGAGAAAAAGCCTAGGACTGTGTAAAAAAAAAAATCACAGCGCAGTTAGCAAGGATGTCACCGGGAACATACGATTTACAAGCAGATTGTGGAAGGTAATACAGTCAGAGAATTATAGGCTGGAAGGGGGCTGTAGGAGGTCATGTCTACACTGATCCCTCAAATGCTCTCCGCGGGGAAGGGAAGGGAACCAGAAGGGACAAGGGCTAAGTGGTGTGGTATTTTATTTCTAGACTAGTGCGCTCAACTGAAAAGCAGTGATTTTCAAATACTGTGATATTTCAAAAGCATATAATGAAACCAAGGAAGTTTAAAGTCAGTACAGGAGTACAGAAACGGTCCCAGGTCCAACTCCTTGACTCCAGGTAGGGCTATAGCAACTTGTTTTTGACAATGACCAGAAAAACCTGAAGTTTTTATGTTGACTCATTAAGAGAGAAACTTATCTTACTAGGAGGAAAAAAACAACATTTGAAGAGATTTCAAATGTTTTTCATGACATTTAAATCGTTTGCCTCTAATGTTCTTATTTTTTACAGACGCATTTCTCTACAAAAGCAACTGCTTTCTGTTGAGACTAGCTTAACATATGTAAGTTCCAACGGAAGTCCTACAAGAAGTCACTTATTTTGTAATATTATTATTAACTATGCTATGTAACTAACTTTAAGATGGTTCTGGTGTTTACCTTTGAATTAGCTGGTGAAATATCTATCCCCTTTTCCCTCTGCCGCCCCTTCCCTAGCATACTCAACTTTTCAGCAACAAGGGAGCTGCTTTACTTACCGTGGTCGGGTATCAAGCCAGTTCCTGGCCTCAAAAGAAGAAGAACTTTATTTCCACCGGCCTGAATGAGCTCAATTGCTCGAGTATGTGTGATGCCTTGTGTAGGTTCCCCATTGATTTCAACAATCTGGTCACCAACCTGGACAGGGAACATTCACAGAAACAACATCAAGTTCTGCTCTGTCAGTCCTGGAGCACTCAGCTCAGCTGAATGACTCTCTTTCATCTGTAAGTATTTCACTTGTGCACTGCTATCATGCTGGAGTTGAGGAGGAGTGGACGATGGTAGCCTTTACTCCATGTAAGTTTATGTGACCACAGTAAGCAGGATCTGAGCCTCTTGAAATCAAGAATCAAATTCTAAGTTTTCAACCAAAGGTGAAGTGGTGGAAGAGGTGAAGACTCTGACGAACGTGACACCATGGAGCTACCTCTGATCCACCTGCGAAGGGTCCTTCCCGACATGAGCTGAATCTTCTGAAACCTGGGCAGGTGGTGCCTCATCTTTGAAGCCTTTCCTGGCCTCCAGGGAGAACCGCCCACTCCCTCCTTTGTGTTGCCACTACACCCTATACTTAGACGCAGCATTAGGTAAAGGGAGTATTTATAGGTTAAATCTCTTAGAAGATTCAGCTTGGAGCACATACTATTCTGAATACTCATTTAAAACCAATAACTGGCTTACACTTAATGACTTTAGTGTACAGTGATTTCCCTAGAAAACAAAAACTAGGGTGCAGAATAAGATACTTCAGTACCATTCTATTTACTAGAAATGTCTGCAGTTATTTTAAAAGAGATAGGAAAAATATGAATGGGTCAAGTATAACTTTTACAGAGGACCTGATTAAAGATAATGATGGTAATGATTTTAAAGTATATTCTGGATTTTAAACTATATTTCAGGGTGACAAGCAACTGGAGGGTCTTGGCTTTCAAACGGAAAAACTGAACAATGGACAATTACTGAAATTCCAAAAAGCATGTTTATAAGAGCTTACTAAACCAATCCAGAAGGAACAGAAGAGGATGCAACAATTACTTAACAAAGGTTGGTAGGACAACTCTGTATCCAGAGACGCAGCAGAGCACAGTGGCCGGGAAGGTGGGCTTAGGAGTCACTGTCATGCCTGTGGTTCACTCCTGGCTCGACCTGGCCGAGCAGAGTGGTCTCACTTTCCTCTCTGTTAAATGGGGATAATATTAGCACCTACTTACCTCCTGGGGTTGTTGGGAGGATTTAATGAGATAAAAACATAATCATGATTATATATCAAGCACAAATAAATGTTAGTTTTCAAATGATCTATTTTCTGCTTTTCCAAAAAAAAGATTTAAAGTGTATCAGGATGAAGAAGATTTAACTGTAGTCTGCACCCCATTCTATACAATGCAAACATTTTCAAGTAAACTATGAAACAGAATGAGTTGTTGCATATTTATGGAAAAAAAATGGGAGTCTTACTCATGAAGAAATGGAGGGTATCACAAGATAGACGGATTTAACATATAAAGTGGAAAAAAAACCTTAAAGAAACACCAGCCAAAGTTAAGATGGTAATAAATGTAATAGGATGGAGAAAAATAATAAAAATAATTAATAAACCCCCTTAAACCCAGAATAAGTGAAACAAGAGTCAGTACCCAGATTTCATCTAGTAAGTGAAGAAAAATCATTTTTACAAGAAAACACATAATAAATTAGCACCAGATATAAAATCCTGCTGATAATTAGAGAAATGAAAATTAAAGGGGATATTGTTTGCAGCATGCTTCGGGTATATCTTGTTAAAAACATGGGGGTTATAAGTAATTTCAGTCACATTCTTTGGCTTAAATTCACTGTCCAAACCTGCATATTATTCTTTTTGCACAACAAATAAATTGCAATAAAACTTGTAATTGAACAGATTTGCCACCAGGTGTCATTTTTGTTTAACTAAAACTAAATTAGGGCGAAAG